GCATGCATCTCTCTTTGTTCCCTGATTGTCAACTCAGTGACCAGCTGCTCAGGCTTCTGCTGCCTTAACCCCCACATTCCTGAAGCTCCCCAGTGCAAGTAAAGAAACAAACATGGTTATCATAGATACATACAGATGGAATTAATTAATGGTAATTGTTTTTTCATTCAGGACTTTCGTTTTTTACTCCTTATTTAGCTAGGTGTATAAATAATTTTTTATCCAGATTTCTGCCACTTGTTTATCTTTTTTAATATGCATGGATATCTGTACATTTTCTGTGTGTGTGTCTGTGTGTGTGTGTGTGTGCACGGAAGTACACACAAACATACACACACACATATATCTAGGCTTGAGGTTGATGTCAGAAGCCATCCTCAGTGGCTCTACTACCTTTTTCATTGAGGCAGGCTCTTTAAATCAAACTGGAGCTTGCTAGTCTTGCTAACCAGCTTCCTCTGGTGATCTCTTATCTCTGTATTCAATGGCTGTAATCACAGATGGGCTACTACATCCACCCAACATTTATTTGAGTTCTGAGGATACAAACTCTGGTCTTTATACTTGTGGGACAAGCACTTCAACCACTGAGCCATCTCCCAAGCCCTACTTCCTGGTATTTGTGTCTATCTGTTAACCTATGTTTTTATATATCTTTGTACATGTCTGAAAGTAGTTGAAAGGTAATTTCTTTTCATGTCTTTAAATGTTTATTAAATATAATAAAATATATTTCAAGTATACTTCATATAATTTTGTAATTGTACAACTTAGATTATGCATGTCAGATTGCTTATGATGTAATGGCACACAGCACTTTATTGGAGAAAGACCAGTTACTTTTTGTGACTGTAGTTGATGAGAAATGCTATGTATTCATCTGTTGTACATTCTTCCTTTCTTCTAGAACCCTAGTCTTATTTAGGGATTCATCCAGTTAAAGACTCTTATAGGAAGTGGTGAATATTTAATGCAGTTCCAAGTAATGAGATGCAAACTGGGCATTTAAGTTGCTATTGATAGGAGCTTAAGCTTGCAGAAGGTCAAGGAAGAAAGTGTCTATTTTGGTTTCCAGTTTTGAAGGTGCAGTCCATCATGGTGGGGAAGGTGTGGCGGCAGGAGAATAAATCAGTTGGTCACATTGTATACTCAGAAAGCAGAGAGAGATTAATGATGGGGCTTGGCTTGCGTTCTTCCTTTTTTGTTGTTTATTTAATCTGGGACCCCAGCCTGTGAAATGATTTCACCCACATTGAGGGCGGGTCTTCTCAGTTAATTCCCTTATAATTCCCTTACAGACATGCCCAGAAGTGTGTCTTTTAGGTGATTCCAAATCCAGTGACATAGACAGTGAAGACAGAGCAGAGGCCCTGGCTTAAACAGGCCTCTGAGTTGATTCATCCCCTCTTCCCTCATCTCCTTTTCTTTGCCCTCTGCCCCTGCCCCCTTCCCAGATGTCCAGAACTAGGGAGATCATTTTGCAACTACTAGGGCAAGGTTGAAGCACAGCAGCTGTGACCCTGACAGCGTTGACCTTCTGTAGCGGTAGTCACTTACTCTTGAACTTTCTTACATTGGGAAACAATTAAGGCCCATGGTATACTCTTGAAGCCCTGCGCCCTGCGTACCTGGGTTTTCTCTAAGTGCAGCAAGGAGTAAGCCAGGGACTCCTTCCAGGAAGATCCCAGTGCTGTTTCTCAGTTTCTGGCTCTTGCTTCTGTGCACACTGAACACAGAAATGCGTGCAGTCCTGCTCCTGTTTCTGACTGAGACACCAGACTGTACTCTTGGTTTTCCTTGAAGCCAGAGTTGCACAATCAAGGAGTTTTTGCATCCCTTTGTTTTTGTTTGAAGTGGAATGGAATTTGGAATGATGACTTGTGGTGAAGCAGAGTGCTTTGTAGTTATGACAACTGAGAGCCCTAGTTTTAGATAAGCTTTATAAGAAATTGCTTTCTATACTACTAACGTTGTAGAGGAAAGATGGAGTGGGGTTTGGCATTCTCGGTCAGTGTTATTCTAAAGTAAAATATATTTCACTTTTACTTATTAGCTATTGTTACTTGCTTTGGTTTTTCTTAACATTTATATTTTAAAAGTCTTTCTGTATGTTTTAATTGTTTTCTATTCTGATTACAGACAACAGTGCTTAAGTACATAAAATATTAGTTATGAAGTGCTATTTTATAACTACATAGTTTCAATTTTAAAATGTATTAATTTTAATATTCTGTACAGAAGTAATAAGAGGCAAGAATCTGTATTGTATGTCTAAAAATCTACTAAGTTAGGCAGGTCTGCCATGCCAAGTTTGTCCTCTATTTCCTGACCTTTACTTTTGCTTTTTTTTTTGTTTGTTTGTTTTTTGTTTGTTTGTTTGTTTTTTAGGATTGATCAGCTCTGCCATCCCAGTTTGCCCTGTCTCTTTCCTTTACTTTTATTTACTCTGACCCATTCGTAAGAAAACTTTGTCTCTAAATGTTATGATTTCATTATTTTGTAAATCCACAAAAGTCACCGTCATATATGTTTATGGTGTATCATACCATATCTTGCTGTCACATGGATGGCTCAGACAGGAGCTGGCATCTTTATCACCTCCCTTCCCTGTGCTAAGTAAGATGCTTGATGATCTTGAGGTCCGTGTCATTGACTGCAGCCCTTCCTGCTGCAGCAGATCTCTAGAAGTAACTCCTTTCGCCTCGCTGAATCTTTATTGTGGGCACCATGTCCTGTTTCTTTCTCATTTCTGTGTTGTCTGGTAACTGCCACTGTCCTACCTATTCCATGAATTTGACTTTGTCAGATTCTACACATAAGTGAAACAGTGAATCTTCCTGCACTCATTTATTTCCTTTAGCAGGCACCCCCTCCCATGTGGTTGTAAATGGCAGGTGCCTTTCTTTTCAGAGGTTGAACAGGATTCTGTTTTGCTTGTACACAGCTCTGTATGTGTGTCTGGGAATATTTGGAGACCTCTTATTTTGGCTACTGTGAATGACACTACAATAAGCATGGGGGTGCAAATATCTCTTCAACATATCAATTTCTGTTGCTATGGATATATACAGTAATTGGATTGCCAGATGAACTGATAGCTCTGCTTTTAGTTGTTTAGAAAGCTCCGTAGTGTCCTCTACAATTGCTGTGCTAATTTGCATTCCCACCAACAGTCTCAGAAATTCCTTTTATTTTGCTTTCTTCTCAGCACCGTCTTTATCTTTTAAGTAATAATCATTCTGATGGGTACAAGATGCTAATTATGATTTTAATTTGTATTTACCTAGTGGTCGGTGATATTGAATAATCTTTTCATGAATCAGTTTGCCATTAGGATGTTTGAGCCTTTAGTGGTTTTAAATGTCTGGGTTGCCTTGCTGTGTTCTGATGCCGACCCTTTATGAAATATGCTCCATCCACTGTCTAGTGATCTCCTCACTGAATTGTCACAGTAGCTGTAAAGAAACTTTAGCTCTCATGTCTATTGTTGCTTGTTAACTGTTCGTTTTGTTGCTGTACCAAGAAATCTTTGCTAAGATGAATGCCAAGAAGCTTTGCCAGTATATTTGCACCTTTAGTTTTACAGTGTCAGGTGTTTAAATCCCTCACCTTTTTTGAGGTTTGTGTATATTGTGTGAAAGAATCCAGATCCACCCTCTTCAAGTAGACAATTTTCAAATACCATTTTTGAAGAAATTTCCATTTGTGAGATCTAGGCATGCATGTAGAAAATCAACTGACTAGGGATTCATGTTCATTTCTAGCTCATTCCAGTGGTCAGAGTGTCTGATTTTATGCCAGTGTCATGCTGTTTTGATTACTGTAGCTTCAAGATATATCTTGATGTCAGGTAGTATGATGACTTCAGCTTTGTTCTTTTTGCTCAAGATTGCTTATGCTGCCAGGTTTCTTTTATGGTCCTTTGCATTTTAGGCTTGTTGTATCCAGCTCTGTGAAAAAATGATACATTAATTTGATAGGGGCTCTACTGAATCTGTGGATTACTTTGGTTTGTGTGAACATTTAAAAAGTATTAGTTATTTTAACCAAAGAGACCAGGATATCTTCATACTGAATTATTTTAATTGGCTTCTTTTATCAGCATTTTATAGTTCTAACATATACATTCTTTAACTGTTTGCTTAAAGTTGTATCGGATCATTTGATTTTGTTAGCACGATAAGTGGAATTATTTTCTTAAATTCTGTTGTTGGTGACATGTAACAACACTGCTGGCATTAGATTGCTTCTCTGTACTTCGCAACTTCATTGAATTCATTTGTTAGTTCTGACAGCTTTTAGTGACATCTTCAGGGTTTTCTGTTTGTAAGATCAGCGATGATTTCATTTGCCTTAGCAAGCCCTTGCTCTCACTAGGCCTTCCAAAACTGGAGAAAATGGTGAAAGTGGATACCCTTTCTAATGCCTTCTCTTAGAGGAAGAACTTTCAGCTTTTCACAATTGAATATCATGCTGATTTATGCTTATTAATCTAATTATTAGGTTGCAGCACATTCTTTCTCTGTCTAATTTGTCAAGAGTTTCTAGTGATGAAAAAAAAAGCTGACTTTTAGGAGATATTAGTGGTGGCACACTCCCATAGTCCTGGCAATGGGAAGTTGGGGACCTCAGATTCCAGGCCCACCTAGGTGAAATATGGAAAAACCACATCTTCAAAGAAAAAAAGAAAGTGAATTGTGAATTTTGTCTAATGCTTTTCCTAGAACTTGTGTGGTGATTACATAGATATTTTCTCTTTATTTCATTAATGTAGTATACTTTATTATTGTTATAACATTAGAACACAGATATTTGCCAATTTTAATTCCCTTCTTGGAATTACTAAAATGTACTAAAATAAATTGACATATGTTTCATTATTTTATCAACCTTACTTCATCACTGATTGTTGAGGTGTTTAAGATCTGGAATTTAATGGATGGGAAAACTTTAAGGTTTGAAATACATTTTTTTTTTAAATTTGTTTGTGAACTTTCCAGATGGAAAAAGTAGAAGCAGACCTGACTAGATCCAAGTCTCTTCGTGAGAAGCAGTCCAAGGAGTTCCTGTGGCAGCTAGAAGATGTCAAGCAAAGATATGAACAGCAGGTCAGCTTTCAGTTTGCAGGATACCAGTTCATTCTTAATAGGAATATACTCCTCTCTTAACCATCTCCCCTTATCACAGAAACCTCTAAAATAAAAATATGACCACTAATATATGAAATATTTAAAATAATATATTTTAATAAAACCCAGACACAAGAGTTTTGATATTCTCCTGAAGCCTATTCTGATGGTTTGTTATTCTGAATATTTACTTGAAAGCTTGATAGTGATTCCTGATTCCCTCTAGCCCTAGGATGACTTGCTCATTCATTTACAAGGTAGTACTGGGTACCTACATGTGCCAGCCTCTGCTGACAACACTGGGCATTGACAAGGAGGCAGGTCACTTTGCTGATAAGTTGGTAGATAGCCAACACATGAGTAAGAGTTGAATTGATTCTGAAAAGTGAGTCGAGAGGAGAAAAAGAACATGTCCATAGGCTTTGCCCATTGCAGGGCCAGAGTCTGGTTATCCGTATGAACAGATGGGTGATCAGGAAAGCCTGAGTCTCTGCTGAGAGGCATCTGGAACACTGAGGGCACAGCATCCTAGTCAGACTGAAGCAAGTTACAAGACTCCAAGAAGAGAGTAAGCTGAGAGGAACAAAACATGGTAAAACCAGGATAGGCAAAATGCAGGAGCAGATTCCAAGCTCTGGGAGCAGGAAAATAGACCTAAACTATGATGGAAGGATTTAAAATTTTAAAAGTCAAACGTTCTTCTCTTTTTAAAAGTCTGCCAGAATATTTAACTACTATTAATTTTTTTTTTATTTATCTAATTGGCTTGTCCTTAACATCTGGAAAAGCATTAATTGGATTTGTAGCACTGGTTAATAAATTTATTTCTAAAGATATTTAAATCTTTTAAATCATAAAATAAGAATAATTTTAAATTATACTTTAAGCTCCATTAAGCAGGTACTATATCAAAACTAATTAATCCCTTATGATCATTGGATTTTATTTCCTCTACTAATTGTTAGCAATTAGTGCTTTACTTGAATTCAGTAAAAAAGCAAGCCTGATCTAGTATGTGTCCTGAGGGTTGTTGTTTTAATCTTAATATATTAGTGAAAATAATTGCCTGAGTTACTTCCATAGGGATGGAGTAATCGCATATAGTAAAATAAAAAAGAAAAAAAGAAAAAGAAAAAAGAGTGAATTGGTCTTTTTTTGTTTAAAATCTGACTTTGTTCTGAACAGGTAACTCATGCCCACCCTGTAAGATCTAACCTGTGCTCAAGGCTTTTATCAGACATTGCATCTTTTTAGCCTGCATTATTTTTTTTATTGTTTTTTCTCTAGAATTTAGTACATCATTTTGGACCCTAAGTCTGTTCTTTATTGAAAAATTGTCTCATTACTTTATATTACTAATCCTAGTTGTAAAATGATCGGCTCAAAGTCCCTAGCTAAATTGTGTATTAGAGTAGTAAGAACAGTAAAATAAGTGGACTCCATCAAATAGAAGAGAGGAGGAGGAAAACCTCCCCTATGAAGTATTTATGCATGTATATAAAAGGTATGTGTGAGTGTAGACTATTTGGAGTAACAGAAAGTTGCAAATAAAATAAATATCTGATGCAATACAATGTCAAACATGCAGAATTATAAGCTATATTGATAAGAGGAATAAATTACATTTTAGAACACATTGTAGATTATCTCAGTCGCATAAAATTAGAGGTTATGTATCAATACCATGGAGTTAGATATATAAATTAATTTTTGAAAGGTTACACATTTCTATGCTGTGAACAGAGATTTGCAGGTTAGGAGTGTAATAAATGCAGACTTTGATATCATGTCCTGGGTATCCCATTTTACTTGAAATTAACAAATCAACATGTGTGTTGCATGAACACTTAAAACATTTAACTATCAATGCCAAGAAAATATAGAACATTTATATTATATTACATTTTAGATGATAAATATATATATTAATAAAATAGAAAATAAATTCAAATCACACACACACACACACACACACAGTAGAAATAAGTATGAAATCTTGAAAAAAGAAGATAAAGCATTAGTGGATGTTTTCAAAAGTGCCAAAATCTGGGTATTTTCTAACTGTGAGATTCAGTGCAAAGGAGTAAATTCTTTTCTTTTTTTATTTAAATTTGAAACAAAGTTGTTTTACATGTCAATCCTAGTTCCTTTACCCTCCCATCCTCCCCTACCACCCCCACCAAACCCCAGCCCATCCTCTTTCTGCTCCCCAGTAAGGGTGAGGCCTTCCATGGGGATTCTTCAAAGTCTGCCATATCATTTGGGGCAGGGCCTAGGCCCTCTCCATGTGTCTAGGCTGAGAGAGTATCCCTCATGTGGGGTGGTCTCCCAAAGTCCATTCATATACTAGGGATAAATACTGATCCATTACTAGAGGCCCCATAGACTGCCCAGTCCTCCTAACTAGCACACACATTCAGGGAGTCTTGGTTGGTCCTATGCTGGTTTCCCAGCTATCAGACTGGGGTACATGAAATCCCCTTTGTTCAGGTCAGCTGATTCTGTAGGTTTCTCCTTGCTTTCACTCTTTGCTTATCACTCCTCTCTCTCTCTCTGTAACTGGATCCCAGGAGTTCAGCAAGTGTTTAGCTGTGGGATTCTGCTTCTGCTTCCATCAACTACTGGATGAAGGTTCTGGGATGATATTTAAGGTAGTCATCAGTCTCTTTATCTGGGAAGGGCATTTATGAGCGTCTCCACTATTGTTTAGATTGTTAGTTGGGGTCATTCTTGTAGATCTCTGGGCATTTCCCTAGTGCCAGATTTCTCCTTAAACCTATAATGGTTCCTTCTATTATGGTATCTCTTTTCTTGTTTTCTTCTATTCTTTCCCTGTCTCATCTTCCTTTTTTAAAGGAGTTATTTTTAAAATCAAACTTTTAAAAGAAAAGTTGCATATTAAAAAATAGCTTAGCCAATTTCTGATTATTATCTAAAAGTCATTTGGAGGCATACCAACTTAATAATGTGTATTTCTAATGGAATATGCTTGGCCTACTGAGCAATGAAGGATATTTTCCATAACTCTAATGCTATAAGAGAGCCTGCTTGGAAAAATAGCACTGCAAATGGAGTATAGAATATTATATTAAGAAATGGAACCTGGGATTAAAGAGTGATGGAAATATGTAGGGGATGGGGATATGCAACATACATTTGAGGAGAATATTTTTCAATGTGATAACATTAAAAACTTTGAAATATTTTCTTAGCAGACACTTTCATTGGTTAGAACAATATTTTCCAGAAGCCAGTCCACAGATTCCAGGTTTTATAATGTGGAAGCTTATCTTGAGAAATGATAGCATGTTAGTGACTGAACATGAACAAGACTAACCCAACTAAACCAAGTTGATATCCCTCTTTGAGCCAGGTATCTCTGTGGGTACTTAGGGAAAGGGGAGTGGAAATAGCCTGTCTGCTTTCTCAGTGAAGTGACAGCTTACAGAGCCATTTTTATTTAAATGGATTGTGTCAAACTGAACTGAGACAGGTAAGTGACTACTAAAAGTAGTCACTAATGGTTATTTAGAATCAAGCTTCCTGAAGTTAGGAATTTAGACAGGGAGTTAATACATAGGATAAAACCCCTGAATTTTTGAATAGGCTGAAATTATGTAGATTTTACTGGAATTAAACATAAATGGCTGTGCTTTGGTTTAGAATATCAGCTGCAAAATTTGAGGGTAAGCCAGGGTAAAGATGACAGAAAGAATTAGACCAGGGAAACACAGTGATCAGGACCATAAGACAGTAGACCGGGACGTTTATGACCCCAGTCTACCTACATCTTATGTAAAAATTCTGGTCATATTTATGTAAGACACTGACAAACTTGACCACACAGTGTAGCAATGTATGGAATTATGTCAGAGGGAATATTTAAAGTAATAGGTTATCTCACTAAGAAAAGATGAAACTAAAGAGAATTGAGTATCTTCTTCCATTTCTGCTGTAGGACCTCCCTTGGGCCGAGCACTGCTCTCTCCTTGTTCTGTCTTCATGGTCATCTGGGTGTCTATCTTCACAGTGCTCTGGTGAGGCAGGCATCTCTTTCATCTCCTCCTTCTAGGTATAGAGCGCAAGGCGTGTCTGGTTCTGTCACCAGCTGTAGCTCCATGCTGAGCAGGTGAGAGACCAACACTGGAACTTGAGCTGTTGTCATCAACTGCACTCTAAACATTGCTGTGGAGTCCTGGAGCAGAAGTGAGACCCAGATGCAGTTGGAATTGTTCCAAGGTGGCTCTCTGTTGGAGAACTGTGCAGTGTATATGGATACGTCTGTGAGACAGTATGTTTCCCAGTGTTGAGCCCGTTCAAGTATCTGTTGGGAGGATTTGGGGTATGTTGTGCATTTTGGGCTATTCCCTTGTGAAGGTTCCTGCCACACTTAATATCCTGTGATTTTCTACTCATCTGGTCTCAGCGTCTCCATGAGAGATGTACACTTGCCTTGTGCTCTTTCTCATACAACAATTGCATCTACTTTTTCAGTTGCCATTCATATCAAAGTATCACATGCTTTTTACTGTTTTGTCTTCCTTTTCTCCAGAGGTAAACATTTAGATCCTGAGATTTTAGCATCTCTGCCAGCCCATTCTTCTCTCACTGGGGCAGAGTACCCCCTCCCTGCATGCAGTGGTTGTGGGAGGTTCCTTATCTTCTTCCTGGAGTGTTGGATTCATAAAATTATTTTAATAGAAAGCATGTGGCTTCACTATTGAGGTAATATTCATATATAAGACAAACATAGACTTGCCTGCTTTATAAAATTCAAAGTTCTCACAAATTTTGACATGAAATTGGACATTTGAAAGAAGCTTTCAGTTTGCAGTCTGCTTAGGGCTGTGGCCTCAGACCAGGGAGGGGGCACAAGTCATTTGCACAGCTGGAAGATGCTTTGGTGGCAAAGTTTCAAAAGTACTTCCCCTGTCAGGCCTTACGTTTTTATAATGAAGGAACTGACATTCAGAGGCAGT